GCCCTTCTTCTTCGCCTTCCTCTTGCCTCCCTCCGCCTCCCACTCCTTCCACAGCCGCAACTGCTCCTCCATCTCCTCTTCGCGCTCTTCCCGCTCCGCCGCCTCCTTCTCTAATATCTCCAATTCTTCCTTCCGCCATTGCGATTGCAGTCGTAGCAGGTGCTTCTCATGCTTCGTCACCCGCGTTTCGCGGATCTTGGGCACATCTGTCGCGGACGGTTTCGTGCTGCGCGACATGTTGGAGAGGGGCATTTCGCGATCGACGCGCGCCGCGAAGTCGGAAAGTTTTTCGCCGGGGAGGATTTGCGGTTTTACTGCCTTTTCTTCGGCTTGCGAGGTTTCTGTAGTGCTGGGTGTGGTGGTAGTAGTGGTTGTAGCGGCCTTCTTCTTCTTGTTATTGTTCTTCTTGTTCGTTTGAGGAGGAACATCTTCGTCGGAGTCTGATGAATCGGAATCGTTATTCCCGTTACGTTTACGTTTCTTCTGCTGTGCGCCGTTTTGTTGCTTCTGCTGAAGTTGTAGTAGGTGGCGGAATGCGCGCGGAGTGTCGTCGGCCCATTCTGAGGTAGATTTGGATTTGACCTTGCGTTCCCCGATGGCTTGTTTTGTGGGTTTGGCTGGTGTTTGTGGTTTGCCGCCCTTGCCTCCTTTGCCTCCTTTGCCTTTGCCTTTGGTGGGTTTGGAGGGATCGCGGACGGGAAGGGGTTTGGCGATTACGGTGGGGGGGAGGTCGTAGGTGCTGTTGTGGTTTTTTGATTAGTGGGTTGGTATTGTTTATTATGGGTTGGAGACTTACTTGGCATCCTTCTCACGGCGCTTGTGTTTGTGAGGCATTGTAATGGTTCTATATGTGGGTTGTTGTGGTAGATGGGGTATCGGTGTTGGTTAGATGGAGTTGAAACTTTTTTTGAGTTTCCCTTTTCGGGTGGGCGGCGTATCTTATCGCCGCTGATAAGGATGGGATCTTAGTACTATCTACGGAGGACATTGGAGACATCATTGCGAATGGGTTTGGGTCTGGTTGTTTCTACAGGATATTATTGTGTGTATGTTTTCTGTAAAGATGGTACCACCGATATAATTCCATTTGGTTTTTGTTATGTGGCTGGTTTGGTACAAAGGATCAAGGATGGTATAGTAGACCTGTGATATATGTTGGACCCTTTGTAGGGCCAGCCTAGAATATATATTCCGACCTATCAAGTAGGATTGAACAGCATAGGGCAGAACAACTCTACATGAACCTGACCATAATAGGGATTATAGTAAATAAACAAATAAAATAATATAATCATACCTAATGAGCAACCCAGTTTTCATTTCTAAGCATTCGACCACCAGGCTCCAGAGTGTAATCCGTACATCCGAAATGCAAGCTAGACTGACTGCCCTCTCGGATGTAAACCACCAGTTAAATGCGATGCAACGCTGGCCCTACACTGTACTGACTTAGAAGCCACACAACACTGTCATTCGACCATAGCTAAATGTCTCACTCACACAACTGCTACATTATAAAGTAGTAATCATCCTCTAGGTTTATAATCCTAGCAATATCCAGTATTAACCCTACTGTGTAAGTACTACTAGTAGCAGTGTGTTGGACCACTTGTTGTTCTGCAACCGCTGCAGACAGCCTGCAGCCTAGCCAATTTAGTGCGAGAAGTCTGGTCTGGTCCGGCACTAATCAATTCCCCGATCACCTCATGCCTTTGCACTGCACTCTGGGTAAGTCGGCACCATAGAATGTTGTTCAAGGGTTCCATCCACATCCACTGCTGTTCCGCGGGATTTATTTTTTCTCGCCCCCCCTCTCTCCTGTACGTTTGTGTCCCACAGTGGGTGGTGGTGGCCGTGTCATTTTCTGCTGATGATCCATGTGTTTAGGCAACAGTCTCATCTTCTTCGATTACTGCCTTATTGTATATAGTAGTAATTATTACTAGTACGTAGAATGCTTGTGATGAGGTGAGGTTAGACAAAGAAGGGGACCCTTGAAACTAGTAATTTAAAATAATGGTGTCTGACATATAGGTAAGCACTATCATTCACTGCAGTATTAGGAACAAGACTTTCTTAGGTTGGATGGAAGGGTAGACTAGTTGGGATGGACCAATCGTCAGCTTCAGTACCGCACATGGGCGTGTTGGCTCGTTCCCCGACTTCTTCTGGCCAGACAGAAGGATTGTACTAAGGTTTCAGTACTGAATAATTTTCCATGGATAGGAACGAGAAAGATGTGTGTCAAGACAGGGTCTACACGAATCCCAAGTGTGGTCGTCAGCACGCAAAGAGAAAGAGGGAATATCAAGATGGGTGACATGGTTGATCGGTGAATATCAAAATTAAATATGACTGTGACAACCAAATTTACCTTTTGGAAAGTGGAGATCGCTTCCATTCACCCTCACATTCTTCCCGGGGCCCTGCGGCAATTCGGCTGCAACTGATGGATCCCACCCCCTCTTCCTCATCCTCCAGGGCACTTTCCCCCATTGATTGAATGAATCATGGGACAACCGTTGGTGGTCCGGGCAGCTTTTCTCGCTCGACTTATCGGCATTTGCCTGACCCCCAATATATAATATAAACCCCCATAAAGCGACCCCATTTTACCCTACTTACTACTCCTACTCCTACTCTCTTTCCTCCCTCTTGGTTCCTGACTAGCAGTGAGTGAGTGAGTGAGTGAGTAAGTAGTGAGTGAGCGGATCAAGCAGTATGGCCTCTTCGTCTCCCTCGGCTTACCCTCATTCCACCTTTTCCAATCACGACGATAAAAGTCAATTGGACCGGTTCCCATTAGACAAGGATTTTGAGACGAGTACTGCCCTCAATGACCCGGCCTACGATGCTGATATAGAAGCATCCCAATTCTACGCGGCCAAGCGACCACGATCGGGGGGTATGCGGGGAATCGTTGCTCTTATCGCCGCCTACTTATCGCCGCGGGAGAAACAAAAGAAGCATCACCGCCAGCCCGCCGACGCTCGCCCACTGCTCGCCTCCGCCAACAACGCCACTCCCACTGCCGCCTGGCATTCCTCCTCGCGACAATATCAAAGAATCAAATCATTGTCGCGGTGCTTGTGTTACCCTCTCCTGGGACTCCTCGTCATGCTGTGAGTCGAGTTCCCCACCCACCTTCCCTCAACCTCTTCCCCTAATGGGTGAGTGTTCCGTCAACTCACCTCCAACGATACAGGGGCGTCGTCCAGTTCATCTCCATTGCCTGCAGCATCGCCGTCTCCTTCTTCCCCGACGAATTCGACCGTGCCATCGAGCGGTGGCGTCATAGCGACCAGCGATCCCCTTCCGCGGACATCCTGCATTGGCCAACAGACATCTCCAGAGATATCGTCCCCGTGCGATGCCACTCTCACAATGACTACTGGCGCCCCGTGCCGTTGTTCTCTGCCCTGCAGGCTGGTTGTACCGGCGTGGAGGCCGATGTGTGGCTCGTCGAAGATGACCTCTACGTCGGCCATACCATGTCGGCGCTGACGCCCCAGCGAACTCTGCGCAACCTGTACATCAACCCGCTGCTGCGCATTCTCGAGCAGCAAAACCCCATCACCGACCTCCACCCTCAGCGCGACAGTCCGCCGCAAGGGGTCTTCGACATGGATCCCTCGCAAACCCTAATCCTGTTGATCGACTTTAAAACGGACGGTCAAGAAACTTGGAACTACGTGCATGCACAGCTCGCCCCGCTCCGCGAGCGCGGCTATCTTTCCTTCTTCAACGGCACCGACATCATTCCGGGCCCCATAACCGTTGTCGGCACCGGCAATACCCCCTTCAACCTAGTCACGGCCAACACCACCTACCGCGATATCTTCTTCGATGCACCGCTCGACAAACTTGTCGACGAGAACATCACCACCGAGGACTACAACAATGATGATGACGTCTCCCTCTCAAATACCCCCGAAGCCGCAAAAGACACAGGGATAGCCACCCGCGCCACCAAGAATGTCGGTCAAGGCCTGTCCGGCATTTCCGACGCAGAAATCGGCCCCGACACCTTTGATTGGACCAATAGCTACTACGCTTCCGTCTCCTTCAAGAAATCCATCGGCATGCCCTGGTCCTTCCGGCTCTCCCAGCGCCAAGTCGATCAGATCCGCGCCCAGATCCGCGCCGCTCATCGTCATGGCCTTAAAGTCCGCTACTGGGGCGTACCCGCCTGGCCACGGAGTCTGCGCAACCATCTTTGGAGCTTACTCGTCCGCGAAGGTATCGACTATCTGAACGTGGATGATCTGCGCAGCGCCACTCGTCAGGATTGGCGGCCTAGAATCTCGGATTGGTGGAGTTGATTGTAAATAGTTCGGTTTTTCTTTCTTCTTTCTTTTTTTTTTTTTCTTTTTTGTTTTCTTTCCCTTTTCTCACATACATCGATCGCATGCAATGATCGCCCCCCACGCTATTCACCTGGTGTGATGCATGGTCTTTCTACTACTAGACGATGATGATAAAGATGGCGTTTTTTTTGGGCTTTCTTCTTTTTTTGTGCTAGGTAGATACCCACATGATGGTTTTGGGATCAGTATTGATTCAGTTTTTCTTTGGGGAGGTCTGGTTTAGGTTTAGCTACTAGTCAGTTGTTGAGGGGAAATCTGGGGAGTGATTGGTTGGTTGGTTTACTAGATAGCTGCGGAAGTACTACTACTACACTAGAGTACTAGATGATGCTGGTTGTGAATAGATCAGTGAAGAAGAAATTCTGATCATTTTGGCTCAAAATCTGAGCTGATGACTTCTATTAACTTCTCGTGGATGGGTTACTTTGGACTGCGGTTCTCTTGGTGATGAAAGAAAAAAGTAACTGTTTGATTTGGAAACATATCTGTTTCGGGGGATACGTGATCCGGGTATCATCTATCTATGAAGATAGTAAAAAAATAACAGAAAAGATAACTGGCTAGTCCCTCCCGAGGGACGAGCGGAAAGACGTAGTATGTATGAAAAATAAGACCCCTATGTGGATAGGTAAATCACATACAAAACAACGCTTCCTCACCGAACTCACGGAACACCGTACCCTCCTCGCGCAGAATCCCACCCAGCCAATCCTTGGCCGTTGCAAATTCCTTCGCGCCAAACTTCACCAGCACAAACCCGGCACGCACCCGTGCTGCCGTGAATGTCACTTGGGAATCATAGTTGGGCGTGGACTCCATAGCGGCCGGCGCCGAGGAGGCCCAATTCCTTGCGCCAATCCTCGGTAGCGAGGAGAACCGGTCCATGATGAAAGACGCGAGCTTTTCAAAGACTGGCCCGTAGAGAATCAAGGTCCCCACGACCCCGTGCGGTCGGGTACGCTCCCGTAACAGATTACTACGGTCGCATGTGTCCACTCCGTTTTCAAGAAGGGCCACGTCAACCTCGTCATCGAGAATGAGCGAGTCCCGGAGCAGCAGCTTCTTCTTTGGCAGTGCTCCTTTCCCGTCTGTTGTTGTAGTCCATACCTCGTTCTTGCCTCGCCAGAGATGGAAGTCCCAGCTCTCACCACGGGACGTCCGGCCTTCTGTCACCCAGTCGAGAATGCAGAGACTGCTCTTATTTAGACCGTCGACCGTGAAGGTCTGGACTTGCTCATAGCGACTGTCTTTGTATGGCACAGCTGGGTCTGGCAGATAGCAGAGAGCAGCACCGTCGCCGACATGCACGTCTAATGTTTGCCGACTCTTGTCGGAGAGAGAGTGTTTGAGAGTGCTGCGGTGGCCCTTCATGCTGATGGGCTCAGTCTTGAAAATCTTGGTGCTCCCTTGTGGTGTTGTCACGACCATACGGGTGTGAGCTTCGAGGGTAATGGAGACCGAAATGTGGTCGCCTGGTAGCAGGCCTCCGCCGTAGGTGAGAAGGTAGAGGTGGACGGGGTTGGAAGGACATTTTGAGAGAGCGGCGTTCTGCGGAACGAAGCCGGGGACACGAGTGAGGAGTTTGAGAGGATATTTATAGGTGAGGGTCGTGAGAGAGGGATTTGCTGGTGGGAGGAGAGAGAGAACCACCTTGCCATGGCCCGGCTTTGCGATGGAGGACTCAAAGGGAGACTTTATCGGCATGATTGCAGATTTTTTGTGAAGTACATGAACAACAAGAAGAAAAAGTAGAAGAAGGATAGAGAGAGGGAGTAAGAGAGAGAGTGAGTAATTGAAGGTGGATATTTTATGGGTGGAGGTAGAAGGAAAAGAGCGAGACGAAGACGGAATGCTTGGCTTTTAACCGCATGGTCGAGCAGTTGCTCATCGCGGCGTGAGAGGAGAACCAGATGATGAAATGGAGCTGGGGGTGACGATGTTTGCTTTCCCCAGGTCCGGGCCAGACGTTGGGGGGGGGGGAAAGGGAGGGAAGGAGTGGACTATCGTCAGGCAAAAGGAACAGCTGATGGGCTGTGCTACTGCGCGGAGAGAAGATCGAGGATCGCCAGACTTCAATGGCGTCGCAAAATCAGCATCAAGGCGGGGTCTTGATGGAGATGACTGGAATTTGATGGTCTGGCACTTCTTGGCCCTTCAATCGCGTCTTTTTTAGGAAGTCGCGATGGAGCCCCCCGTGGTTTCCATTACGGCATCGATTACTTCCTCCTCCGCACTTCCCGCTTTGGGGCTTGCGCCAGGGCTAGGGTTGGCCCCGTCACCTGGTCACCTGCTCGCCAGTGCCAAGCGTGTACCTTCCCTTTCTGGGAGTAGTTCGGTAATTATATTTTTATTCTTTTCCGCCTGTCATTTTACATCCTCCATACAAAGTCACGGGGTCTAGCTTGTGTATTATTCAGAAGCGGAGTTTTGTCGCCTGAGGCTGCCACGCCTGTTGGCTCCCCGTCATCGCCAGGCACCAAAGCGCGTCGTCCGTCAACGAGCCAAAGTCAAGATCCCCAAAGTCCCTCCTCCGTCGTCCTATCTAACCCCCCTCCCTCTCTCCTCCCCGTATCCCTTGGGTCCCACTTCCGGCTTCCGCATGTCCTCAATTGCTTCCCTTTACTATTGATCTATCTTATTTTTCACGTTTCTTCCCCGCCCACTGTCCGCGTGCCGCAACGTGCCTCAAACGCGCGCGCAAACCCGGAAGTCATTGGGAAACCCCCCAACATCGCGTTTGGCGGCTCCCGTTTCATCTCTATCTTTGACAGATCACCAACCCCCACGTCCAAGTACGCTCTACGCCCTGCGAAATCCTCTGAAAACATCCATCCAATGAATTCCGTTGGATCCCGACTGACCGTTTTTCCGACTTACAGTGATATAATATCTTTCCCCGACAGACAGACGATATGGAAGCCGAGTCGCCCCTCTCAACACCTCAGCCGGACCAGACCCAGAGTGATGCCTCCCCGTCAACAGACAGGAGGAAGTCGGGTCGCGTGACGCGAAAACCAGAGCTGTACTCCCAGAGCTTTGGCGCCAGCAATGGTGCGACCGCAGGCGGGGCTAAGCGCAAGCGCACCACGACTGGCGATGATAACGATGATGACAATGAACTGAGCAACGAGGACGCGTCCGAGTCAGACAGTGATGAGCCCGGCGACGAAGATCCCGACGAAGAGGAACTGCGCGAGAAGAAGCGGGCTGCGCGCAAAGCGGCTGCCAAGAAGCAGTCGTCTTCATCGAAACCGAAGCCCAAGTCCCGTACCGCGAAGAAACCCAAGGTCGCTGGCAACGGCCTACCTAGTCGCCTGGCCCTGCGGCCCGCTGCCAACGGAAAGAAACCGGTTTCACGTCCCAGGCAGATGAAAGCGCGACTCACCATGGCTGCGCGCGAGGGCGGTCTCTATGGTAGGTGTCTTACTCCAATTGATCCCTTGGCGTAAATGCTATAGCTGACACGGATTTCGTTCCTAGCGGAGGTCTTTGGCAAGGGACGGACCGTCGAAACGGTTGCGGCGGAGTGGCTTACGCATTATCAAGAAGAACAGCAGGAGGCAGTGTGCGACATGGTTAACTTCATGCTGAAATGCTCGGGAACTGATCTAGAAGTAACGACCGTTGATATTGAGAATGTCGACCACGCCCCACATCGTGTGAGTGATTTGGCAAATCAGTACCAAACTTTAGGAATTTCCGAGTACCCCTTGATCTCCAAGTCCAGGAAACTGAGGTCTTTCCACCCCGTTTTGGAGAGTTTCATCATGACCCTGATCCAAACCCTGCACCACTCGTCCGTGCTATACAGCGATCCGAACCTTTTCGAGAACATCCAAGTTTGGATCTCGTCCCTGTCCTCTTCCGGATGCCGGCCTTTCAGACACACCGCTACCGTTGTCTCCCTGGCCACGATGAATGCTTTCTGTGATATTGCGCGGGAGGTCAACACCACTGTCTCCACGTCCCGCAAACAGCTGGAAAGTGAGAAGAAAAAGCGGTCAGTGAACAAGGGCCGAGTCGAAGCTATTGAGACAGCGATCGAGGAGGGTGAGAAGAAGCTGGAGATGATCGACGACTACCTGAAAGATGGTGTGAACGTTGTCTTCGTCCATCGCTACCGGGATATCGACCCCGCCATCCGCGCCGAGTGCCTGGCAGCTCTGGGACGCTGGATGCGCACCTATCGCGAGTACTTTTTCGAGGGCCAGTTCCTTCGTTATTTTGGCTGGAACCTCTCTGACGCCGCGGGCCAATCGCGTGCAGTGGTAGTTGAGCAGCTCAAGTCCCTCTATGAGATCAAAGACAACATGGCGGGCCTTCGATCGTTCACGGAACGTTTCCGCCAACGCCTGGTAGAAATGGCTGCCCACGATGCTGAGATTACTGTGCGCACTTCTGCTATCGAGCTCCTTGACCTGATTCGCGATGCTGGATTGATTGAACCGGCTGATGTGGATACGGTCGGCAAACTCGTTTTCGACTCCGAACCCCGGATCCGTAAAGCGGCTGGTCGCTTCTTCGTTGCGAATGTCGAGGATGTGTTCGACTCCACCATGGAGAAGATGGCAGAGGAGGCTGGCGAGATCTTCGGTGATGAAGATGAGGACGATTTCGAGTCACCCAAGCGCTCTTGGATCAAGTTCAAGTGCCTAGCAGATATTCTCCAAGCCTACGACGATCTCGAGAATGAAAGTGCCGAGGAAACCGTGGCGCCACGAGATGCGCTTTCGGGTGCTCCGATGGACACACGTTTCGTTCTTGCCACGGAGGCCATTTATCCCCATCTCACCGACCTTGCTCACTGGCAGTCTCTGGCAGGATACCTTCTCTATGACCATTCCCAGATCCCGGAGGACCCCAGCGAGGATGATACTGCTGCTGTGGTCCGAAAATCGTACAAGATGCAAGAAGGTCAGGAAGTGATCCTTCTGGAAGTACTGTGCTGCGCAGTTAAACTGCGCGTCCTAGAGATTGCCAAGTCAGACATTGATAAGAGGGGCCGGAAAGTCAAGGCATTGACCGACAAGATCCCAGAACTGCAGGAGGAGATCTCGCATAGCCTGGCGCAGATCATTCCACAGCTGCTCAACAAATACGGCTCCGTACCGGAGGCGGCATTTGCGGTCTTGAGGCTTGAACATCTCGTCGACTTGGAAAAGATCGAGGATATACAAAAAGACGCAACGGCTTATACCGCGTTGTTGAACGACATAAACAAGCAATTCTTGACCCATTCAGACCAGGATGTCCTGGCCGAGGCCAGCGTTGCGTTTATTCATGCAAAGAGCTCCGATGATATGCGCGAGGCGCTCGAGGGCAAGATTCAGGAGCTATGGGACAACGTGGTGGAGACTCTGAGCACTCTGTCACGAAAGCAGGACGTGTCAAAGGGAGGCTCGATATCTCCCGCGACCCTGAACGAACTCGTCAACACAGTGATCCGGATATCCAACCTTGCCAGTGTGACGGACTGTACGCATGTCTTGGAAACCATGCCTTCTGGTCGATCGAAGGGTAAGCGCACAGACGTTTCTGAAGCACCATTCAACGCTCTCGTGCATCTGATGAAACGGGGGCTGCGCGACCCGGAGGATGATGAGGATCTCGCCAAGGCAGAAAGTGAACTGGTTACAAACAGCATTCGGACGCTTCTGTTCTACTTCATGTGGAAGGTGCAGACATTGACCACGGCCCTGAATGCAGGAAAGGCATCGTTTAATACGGCATACTTCGAGGCTCTGACCAAGGGCCGTGAGATTTTTACCACAACACTTGTTGCTATCATGAAGCAGCGCTTGGGGCTGGACGACATCAGGTTTTGCGCAGCCACGACGCTTCTAGACCTTCAGACCTTATTCGGCACCCTTCGCCATGCTGGACTGACTGCAGCCAATGACGAGGATGTAATCCTCCAGACTCAAAGTCTTGTCCAAGAGATCGGACGTGAGCCAAAGACACTCATCGCCAGGATACATAGCATAGCAGAACGCACGTACGCGAGGAAGATCCGAGTTCCCATAAGGGCTGCCGATGATGACGGGCTGTCCGACGAAGACATCCGGAAAGCACCCCAGGATGAAGACGACGAAGAGTCCGAACCCGAAGAAATACTGGACGACGAGCGCCTCCGATCGAGCATCATTGCCGAACAACGCCTGTGCGAACTGACCGGCAAGATTGTCCTCGCCATCGTCGGACGCATCATCGACGCCACCGGATCAGACAGTGGGGCATTAACGAAGAAACTGCTCAAGAACCGGTCCCAGCTGGGTCGAAACTACCGTGAAGTCCTCGCCTATCTTGGGGACCTCATACCCAGCAGGAGCACAGCAACACGAGCCGCCACACGAAGTAAACAACCATCGGCGCAAAGCAAAACCCAGAATGGTGCTGGCGCCAGCAAGCGAGCAGGAGAGCACAAATCCGCCGAACGGATAGACGACGACGAAGAGGACGAGGATGAGAACGACGCTGAAGAAGAATCCCATCACGAAGATGACGAAGAGGAGGACCTACGAGCCCGTGGCCTCCTCGAAGAGGAGAACATCGACCAAGACCACGATGAGGAGGAAGAGGAAGAGGACGATAATCCAGATCCGGACGAGGACGAAGTTATGGGTGATTAGTTTATTTCTGTTTCCATCATACCATTCATGTCTTGTCTATTAAGTTGATATTTTCTTTTTCGGACGAAAATTATTAGGGAAAGGCACGCAGTATCAAAGGTGTCAATTTGCTATTCTAGGCCATTTACCTTTCTTTATCTTTCTGATTGATTGCGATTCGGTGTGACGATCTATTGTCATTTTCTTCAATCTTCGATTCTCCCTTCTGTCCTTCCAATTCAATATGCGGGGTCTCTTTGCTTTTTCTTCATTTCTACTACCCACCCCGGCTTTCCATCTTACTGTTACTACTATGTAGCCCTGGCTTGATATCACTACTCTTCGTTTCTTGATTTACTTCTGTCTCCATTAAGCTTCCTTTGCCCCGGACAATGAAGGAGATACTCGCAAACTACACATAATTGTTTTCTTCGTTCCAACTTCCGTAGAGAAAAGTCTGCCTGGCTCTCCCAAGTGGGTGTTCCAACATGAGTAGTCTACAGGCAGGGGATGTTCTAGGCTCTCTTTATCTTGCCTGTATAACGCCCTACGACCTCTACGGTTGTACAAATGTACGTACCTGTGTATCTGTGTGATACGATTAGTATTTGGTGTGAGGACAAGTTTGCTTTGGGCAAGTTGGCTCGGTGTATTTCACTCCGTGTCAGGATTACATGGAAAGAAACCAAGGGAACACATATGAGATGTTTCAGCGTAGGTAAGGCATATATGGGGTGAAAAAGAATATGTCAATTTCCAGGGCTAGGTTTACTATCCACCATGACTGGATCTGTTGGATCTCTTTAAACTATACTGAGTTTGTTCCTGTTTCTCTAAGGATTCCAAACCACATCCAGGGACAGAGCCAGTGGTCTGCGTATGCCGACACCAACGCCTAGTAGTATTCCTTTATTTTTGTCTGTCTAGGCGATAAGGGGACGGAAAGCACCTAAGCCCGCAAAACAACCACAACCGAAGGGATAATCCAGAGGAAATGAACAAGAATGAGACCGAAAAAAGAAAACAAATACGCCTGTGTATGAGGGATGCTACGGGGTGGTACCAGAGTAATAGGCACGTATAAGAAGGGGTACATGATGGTGAATCTTTATCGTTCGTGATGGTCAAAACAGAGGGGAAGAATCATGATACGGGAAGGGAAAATGGGAATGGGGGAGGGGGAGGGGGAGGACAGAAGGGGTTAAAATGAGGAAACCTGGAAGGGCAAAACAAGAAAGAGTCGGAAGAGACTTCGCAAAGTTACTCCAAGGATGGCCAGAAGCCACACTAGACACCGCCGTTCTTGAGTCACGAGAAGCCTGGAATAATGAAGTGATAATCTCGTCCCAGAGCCTCCACGAACTCAAGGTTGAGGGGTCCACATGGCGGCATGGTGACCGCCAGGTGTAGATCTAGCGAGAAAGAATCAAAATAGATGGGTGCAGATCTCTCATGTGGGGTCATTGTTTCATTGCCAGTAGAATGCGTGTCAATTTTGTTTTTGTCTTGTTTTTTGTTTTTACATATCCATGGAGTCACCACCGTTGGCGAAGTTGAATCCGCCCTGCTGTTGCGTGGTGCCGAGGGCGAATCCAGTCTGGGTCTGCTGAGGAGCAACCTCATCAATGTCACCAGCCTCGTCCTCATCAGAGAAGTACTTCTCGATGATGTTGTACGCCTTCATGTAGATCTCCTCGTTGGCGTTGTTCTGGCAGTCATGGATCTTCTCCATACCACCGGCCTCTTCGATGAACAGGGCATAGCGGTTGACGTTTGCCTCGGCCTGGCCAGCCTCCTTGTCCATCTCGCCGACCTTAAGGATGTTCTCCAGACCATCCAGAGCAACCTGGATAATCTTGTTGTCAGGGCAAGCAAGAAGGTCGCACAGGGGCTTGATGCATCCCTGGGACACAAGGTAGCGGATCTGATCAGGCTTCTGCAGACCACCGGAGGTGGCGTTGGAGATGGCCCAGCAGGCCTCCTTACGCGTCTTGAAGTCACCGTTCGCCAGCAGGTTGATCAAGGGAGGGATAATGCCGGCGTCGACGACGGCCTGGATCTGGCTGGAGTTACCAGCAGTGATGTTGGAGATAGTCCAGCACGCCTCCTTACGGATACCGTCCTTGGTGGAGCTCAGCAGAGCAAGGAGGGCGGGAAGAGCACCGCAGTTGATGATGACCTGGGTCTGGACATCGTCACCAGTGACGATGTTGCCAACCGACCGGAGAGCGGGGGTCTGGACTGAGGTCGAGGCGTGCATGAGGAGCTCGACAAGACGGCGGGGGATGCCGGCCTCGATGACAGCCTGGATCTTGTCGTTGGCGCCATCGGACAGGTAGGAGATGGCCCAGCAAGCATCGATCAGGACCTCATCATCAAGCATGTAGATGAGCTTAGCAAGGACAGGAAGAGCGGGGGCAATCTTTGGAATTCATTGTTAGCGACAACAGCTCGTTAGCATGAGAAGAGAGGATGACATACGGTGTTCCAATCAGGCTGAGGCGTCTTGCCGCGGCAGAAGTTGCTCAGGGTCCAGGTAGCGTTGCGCAGCATGCTCAGCTTCCGGCCATCGTTGATGAGGTTCAGCAGAGGACGCAGAGCACCGGCGTTAAGGACAAAGTCACGGCATTGAGGGCTGTCACCCGCAATGTTACCAAGGGCCCAGACGGCCTGCTCACGAACATCGGGCTCAGGGCTGCTCAGGAGCTCGCAGAAGATCGGCACAGCACCAGCCTCGATAACGACCTGGGTCTGTTGGGCGGAACCGGAGGCAATGTTGGTCAAAGCCCAAGCGGCTTCGAACTGAACAAGAGTGTGGGGGGATCGGAGGAATTCAACAAAGCGGCTCACGACACCGGTCTCGATGACACGCTCAATGGGAGGGTTGCGCTCCTTGGAGAGCAATTTCCTGAACTTGGTGGTGGCTTGGATCTGCTGGTCGATCTGATCGGAGAAGACGCCCTTAACCATCTCGGGGAGCTCCACATTAAGCTAGAAAACCATCCATTAGCTAATTTGCACAGGAATGAACACATCTTTGCTGAGCGCAATGGTAGTCTTGATGATGCTGGTCGTGTGCTTGTCTAGTCAAGGCCGAGAGAGGGCTCGCCCGGCGGCAAAGCGGTGAAAAGCTCTCACTGGGACGCATCTGGACAAGCAAGACCGACCAGAAAGAAAGATCGAAAACGGGCAGCCGACGGGCGCAGCTCCCGGTCGGGAAAGGAACAAAGAAATCGAACAATGGATATAGAAACAAAAAGAAATGCAGGAACCGCATACCTCACTCTCGATGGCGCTGGCCTCATCGTCACTCTCGGCAGCTACGCCGCCGCCCACACCAATGCCGCCATCGCGGGTCTGGATACCTCTCCTCTTGGCCAAATTCTCATCTCTCTTCTGCTTTCTGATTTCAACCTGTTGTTCCTCACGACGACGACGGAGCTCGTCAGGCCGGAACTGGTTCCGGGCCTTGAACTGAGTGCGACGATGCTCGGGGATGTAGCGCTCGGCCATGGTTGCTTGGGACACAGAGGGGTGAAAACAAAGCGCACCACAACCGGGTGTATTAGCTTAAGAAATGGGGGGAAGAGAAAAGGGAGATGAGGGAGAAAAGAAGAAGATGAAGTAGATAGCAAGATGTGGGAGATGGGAATCCCAGCGAGCTAAATAAGGGGATAGAGAAAGAGGCTAGACAAAGGAAGAAAGGACAAGCGCAAAGCTGAGATGGTAGAAGGAGGGGAAAAAAGTGTTGATGCTCTTCGGAGGTGGGATTGCCCAGTCACGGGACGCCGCTGATTTGCTGTTTTCGTCCAGCTCCGCCCGCAAGCGCCACTTCCGCCTAAGCGAAGTTGGCGCCGGTTCCTCTCATTTCTTTGCCTTACATACGCGTCTGCTTGTTTCTTTATCTATATTGGATCAGTTGTGATCGAGAAACCTTCTGACGCTGTTCTGGAAACCGGCTGTCTTGCGAGCCATTTCTAATTCGGGCCCTTCTGGTGGATGCGTTGTTTACGTGTATTACTACTAACTGCTCCACTCGGTCCCGCGTCGATCTATTCGCGGTTCGATCAACAATACTACTTCTAGTAACTTATTTATCTATATTAACAGCCAAGGAGATCCGACCTCACGACGTTTCAGTCCTGCAGTGGATGCATTATATGCATCAGGCTCTGTTCTACCGTGGCTTCAATATGAATTGTGCGACATAACGTAATTTCCACACCATGTCTCGCTTCGTGGATGTGTCCACTGCGCTCTCTGCGCAGGGCAGAGTAAGTGTCATTGGCGTCGTAGTCGACGTCTTCGGTGGGATTTGGAAGTCTAGAGGCTCGTCCAGCTGTATCACCTTTACCATCAAGGACTCAGGTCTTGACAATGGACATACATGGGACGGGTTGAAAATAAAATATTTCAAAGACAATGAGAGCCATTTACCTCCCGTCCAAGTACGCGATGTGATCCTGATACGAGATCTGTGGGTTCGTGAGGCTTGATTAGACCCCTTCATAGGTGACAGACTGACTCTTTGACTGCAGATAAGAAATTTTAAAGGAGACCCGCTGGGAGTCGCTGCCCAGGATAGAGAAGTACCTTGGGCAATCTTTCGCTTGGACCCGGATCCCACGTCTAGTCCTGCACCCCTTTGTGGCCCTACACACTTTGAACCATCGCCTTCGGAGAAGATACATGCTCTTAATTTGATGAATAGCCTCCCTGCGGTCGATGGCTTCCGCAAAGCCCCAGCCCAGGATACTCCGCGTGGCCCCTATATTGTCCAGGCTGCAATTCCAAATTCCAAGCCTTATCCGCACAAGAAGCTCTCACTTGTCAAGGATATTGTAGAGCGAAACTATGTTGATCTCGTTGGGGAAATTGTCAAGATCTATACCAACGACAGTGAAAAGGTCGTCCTCTATTTCACCGATTACACGGCCAACGATGGTCTCGAAGACCGCCGAATAGGCGCTGCCGGTGACAATGACTTTGGCACTGAAGGAGATGTCTACGGTTATCAAAAAAAACCCAAGAAGAAATGGACAGGACCTGTTGGACGAATGACTCTCACAATCACCCTCTGGGAACCCCATGCGTCGTATGCACGCCAACACCTAAAGAATAACGATCTCATCCAGCTATACAATGTGCATGTCAAGCGCAGCCGCATCAATGGGATCTTAGAGGCCAGTGTTCACACAAACCGCACGAATCCAAATTCAGTGAATGTACATACCTTGGACCGTCGCAAAGATACATTTGTCGAGCAATTTTTACAGCGTAGGACGGAATACTGGAAAGCGAATCCTCGGAAGCGGGAACCGGAAAACGAAGCCCAGCAAGTTCCCAAGAGAAGCACCAAGAAACAGCGAAAGAGAGCCGAAAAGGTGGAAGAAGGCCAAGTTCCCATCACAGCAGCAAGCAGCAAGCGATATGCACCAAATGAGAACAGTGAGTCATGCTGTCTGGTTAATAGCCACTGTGGTATTGTACAATTGATTGACAGTCCATGACAGTCATAGCCGGCAACCCGTCTGTTCCTACAATGTCCCTCGAAGCGATCCTCTCAAACAAACTCCATGACAACATCTCATATAACAACATACAGTACCGCTTCCCTTTCCAGAATTTCTGCTACCGAACCACAGTTCGTGTGGTCGATTTCTTCCCCCCACGACTGGAAGACTTCTCCGTCCCCGAAGACTCCTCCGGCGAGGGAACCTCCCAGAGAGACCCCGACCGGTTCATTAGATGGGAGTGGCGCTTTTGTCTGCTCGTGGAAAGCGTCCCTCCTCCACCCGCAGGCCAAGCAAAAGAACAGATGAGGTTATTTGTTGCTGGCCCGGACGCGGAGTATCTATTGGGATTAACTGCAGTCGAGTAAGTGTTGCCGATCACCCCTTGCATAATTGACCTAAAGTATGAAAGTCTCGTGAGACCGATCTTCTAACTTTAAATCTTCCTACGTCCATTAGTCTAAGACGAAACCAACACGACCTAAAAGAACTCCGAGAAAAGCTCTTTATTTTATGGGGCGACCTCGAGGAGCGCAAGAGAGCGGCCCTGCACGACGGAAAGCAAGACATAGGTCCAGTTTCATGCAGACCTTTCAATTGCTGCATTCAAGAATATGGTGTCCTCTGCAGACATCGCCCTGATACGGAGAACACCACCACTAATAACGAAGATGACGAGAATGGCTGTAGCCATGACGACTGCTTTGGCTGGGAGAGGCGCTTTGCTATGTTCATGACTACTATATCGTAACACACTTTTTGCATGCAAAACTGCTTTCTGGGAATAACGGTGGTGTTTGCTGTTGTATACATAGGGTACTTTGTTTTGCTTTTGGTGCCAGGGTTATCCAAGGGCGTGAGTCTTGGAAAAACGGTTTCGGGTATGCGAAACAAGCTTGATGTGATAGTGCTTACATCGAATCAGTGATGTACAGAATCCAAGATAATGAATAATATCAAATACGAGAGCCCGAAGATGGTAGTACTACGACGAAGATATCGATTGAATTGCATATAGTTAGCGGGTGAAAGATTGGCGGAAATGTCATATTGATAGAAAATTTCAGAGATTGAGTACCGAATTTAGGGATATCCATCAAGATATGTACCATGCGCAAGATAGCAGAAAATCAAGTGTAGGAAGCACGCCAGCAGACAAGTATTTTGGTGTTGATGGGCCAAAAACTTGTTGAAAAAAGAAAAGTCCAATCTTATCTGCGCGAAGCCATTACAAAGGCCAAAGAAAAATACAACTTTTGTGCTAGAGCAATGCAGGTCCTGTTTCACGCTGCAAACTTGAAAGAGAAAATGGAGCTCGCTTCCCCAATTATTCTACCCCTGCTATTAGACCTTGGTTAACTTAACGATATTGGTGTCGATGCCGTGCGCGGCAGGATCAAATCGACAATTCGAACCCCAGTAACAATCTTTTTTCCCGGGCTCTGCGTGAGGGCACCGATGCCCATATGTACATTCCGGGTCATCGCAATCTAGTCCATATCGACAGGGTGTCATGCGGGCGATGGCGGTTAAAACTGAAAGTTCACTTTTGGTCAACCTGCGCGAGTGGTCATGCTGACAGTTGTCAATTGTGCATTCTCCTAGGAGGTAATGAAGGTTGCATAATTTTAGTTTCTTCAGGCGATTCATCTCTTCTCGCGGGATGCTTTTAAAGTCAACCCGGTCTACACGTTGACCGTACTTGTTTCGTTCAACGATCTTGGGTCGTGCAGGCGTAATTGATTTCGATTGCACCACTTGGAATTCACCAGGGGTTGATGGCCTGGCAGAAGTGGAAGACATCGACGTACTAGCATTCGTTGACGTGCTGGTCGAGGTTCGTGACAGTGGCACTGCGCCTGGTCTCGGCGATGGAGTGAGAGCTGGAGGAGGTTTGGACGCTACTGCGGCTTTCCACGGGGCCCAGACAGGTGTTATTTTTGTATTTCGAAGGATTTCTGGGAACTGAGAGACTCTGTATGCGGCCTTGATCTTGGCCAGATCTTTTTCAAAGGTGATGCCCTCGATCAAGGTTACTCTTCCTACTAGGTCAATGTCTTCCATTATGTCCACCAAGATCTGGGCATATGCGTTGGTGTCGGCGCATCCTAAGAAGATTTGATGACAGTGGCAGTTATATAGGTTGACTTTGAAGGCCTCTAGAGATGGCAGACAGCAGGTCAGCGCATCGTCCTGAGTAACATACCAATGCAAGTATCTTGGACAAGGAAGTCTTGATGCGTACCTGCAATCTTGTCATGTGCGTTGTCTAGTCCAGTATCCACAAGGTCGAACAGTGGATGGCCATTGTTGAAGCCCTTAGCAAAGCCCTCGATCGATGATGGGTCGGTGCTAATGACGCCTCGGACACACATCTCACTCAGATCTTTCAAGTTAACGTACATCCTCGTGATTATTTTTGGATTATCAAGGCCCGGAAAATTGCTGGCAACATAGTCTTTCAGGGCGACAGCAAGCTTATTGGCTGCAACTTTGCCACCTTCTTCTCCCCTTTGTAGGAACTCGTCCTTGAAGATGATGCCAGTTCCATCTAGTAGCACGACTATAAAGGGCTCGCGGTCCTAAAAGCGGACGGGCATCATTAGCACAGACCAAGCTGCAGAACTATGAAGGTCCCACCATAATGGCCTTGATCCTCGCGATATGCTGCATTAACTCCATTTCATGAAGCTGGATATCACGATTAAACCGCGTTTCACGTTCATGATCGAGTTTCTCTTGCTGGAAGGCAGCCTCCAGCTCTGTCACACGCTGCAAAAGTTCCTAGGTGCAGGGAGTGTAACGTCAACATGGAGCACTTGATACTGTGATGCTGAGCGGCTACCTCGATTAGGATATTCTTATCTTGTTCTATAGATGCCAGCTGTTTATATCGCTCGAGATATTCCGGGGCTGTCATGATGGACTAGGTAAGGTTTGGGCACTAATGGTTTAAGAGGGATAGCAAGTGAGAGAGAGGTCTTGGGAAGCGCCAGGCTATAGAAGCACCGAGAATGGGGAAGGGTTGATGGTAGGCGGCTGAAACGGCGACGATCGAGATTATGGAGCCAAAAAGAGTAGCAGATTGGGCAGACAGCGGGGAAGCCAATACTATCGGGAGTGAATTTACTGTACAATCACGAAGAAAGTGCGAGATCTACAGAGACAAGTGAACTGGACTGGCACAAGCCTAGAGCAAGTCACCATCAAAACAGCCGCATGAGGCGCCAACCAGTCACGAGCCGCCGGCCGGGGAGAGCTGGGGCTGAGTCAGCCCGCCGCATGGGGAACCATCCCAGCCAACCTGAGGCAGTATTGAGGCTACGTGGAGAAATTGCCCGGTTCCCCTTCCTCTCTTTCTTGCTGCTTCTCCTCTCCCTCTTACTTACTTCTCCCTCTCTTCTTCCTCCATCCATCTCTGGTCCGATCGCCTCTTCGATCTTTCTCTTCCCCACCCTTTCCCCCCTCTCCTCACCCTCACCCTTTCTCTTCTCGTCCCCAACTCCCGGTTCATTCACAATGGGTCGCTTTGGTTTCTTGTCCCTGGCTCTCCTTTCTGTCCAGGCCTTGATTGGCGGCAGTCTCGCGGCGGTATGTTCCCACTCGCGTGACTCTTATCGTTTCACAGTCAATTGAGTTGCTGACGCGATGTCGCATCTTATCAGGATGCTGCTGAGAAGGATGACCTCCCTGAAACCCAATTGCTTTCGGTCACGGCCCACGCCTCCTTCCCTGCCTCCGAGGAGATCTTCGGTGTCAAGCTTGTCAATGGCTACCCGACTGAGGCGCTGGTCACTTTCGCCAATGAGGATGAAGTTCCTGTGACTGTGAACTTCATTGGAGGTTCCTTGTCGGCGGTTGAAGGAGAAAGCAGCCAGATTGTTCGCAACCTGACTGCGCACCGTTACAGCGTTGAGATCCCGGCCGGTCAGCAGGAGAGCGTCAGCTACAGCTTCGCCACCGAAATGCACCCCCAGGATTTGCTGCTCACTCTCGCTTCCGTCATCTCTGATACCAATGGCAACCTCTTCACTCTGTACGCCTACAACGGCACTGTCAGCGTCGTTGAGCCGGAGACCAGCATCTTTGACCCTCAGATGTAAGGAACATTCTCACTGCTCGTCGATGGGGCCAAGCTAACCCGATCATTATCAGCCTCTTCCTGTACTTCTTCCTCCTGGCTTGCTTCTCTGGCGTCGTCTACTTCTTCTACACCGTCTGGATCGCTCCCTACTTCCCCCAGAAGCGCCGTGCTGCAAAGGGTCCCGAGTACAAGAAGTCCGCTGGTGCCTCCAAGAAGGAGGCCCCCGTTGAGGCTCCCAGCAGCCCTGCTGTCTCTTCTGCTACTACCTACAACGCCGAGTGGATCCCCGCTCACCACATCAACCGTCCTGAGGCCAGGAAGGTCAAGGGCGCCAAGTCTAAGAACCGTGCCTAAATGGCCCTTACTGTGCTGAGTCGATGGGTGATTTGTGAGGAGATATTGGGAAGGGCTTGGAGTCGGAGGGAACCTTGGTTGGTTCTCTCAGCGACTCCGGAGTAAGGCTAGCGGACTTGGGAAAGGGTCACTGAAAATGTGGCCCCGCCGAGAGTTATTGCTGCCTTGGATTTGCGTGTACATTTACTTCAAATTGATATTTATAATCGAAGCTCACGCAATCAGCCAGGGGGGCCGCATCGTCGGTTCCCCGCATCACTCCATCAGGTGTCAATTGAAGCTCGACCAAACATGGCAGAATGTGCTTCTAGCTCCCAGTCGCTTATACCGTCCTGCATGCATGCGGGCAGTCCCTGCGCCTCACAGCTTTCTCCATGCCTCAAATTCCTCCTTCAAATGTAGTTTCAACTCGGCGAATTTGTTTCCGAATTGCTTCCCACAGCGCCAACAGACGAAATCCCTTCGCAAGTAGCCTTGTTCATCCGGGTGCCTCCGCACATCATCTGGCGCGAGCGGAAAATCATCAATATTGACGAAAAACGGTGTAGAAAAGCTATTGTAATGTTTCCTATGCTTTAGACGATCGCTGAACCGATCCACGGAGATAACATGCACATGCAAGTGATTCATGGAGGGATGCGCATGAATCCCACACATAATCTCCTGCTCCCAGTTTCTCCCCGGCGGCAGCTCCTCCAGCGGCGGTTCTACATTAAGCGCATCCTGCCTCTCTTTATCCTGCGCCGAGTATTTCCCGTGTATTCGCCTGAGCTCACCAGCCGCGAGTTTGCGGAGCTTCTGCGTTTCTTTCTTCACTTTTGCCAGGAACTCGGCGTCCTCGAAGGCTTCGAATGGATGGAGGCGCGTTTTCTGGGGATCTCGTGGGAGAAGTAGGAGGTGGAGGGTTGCCTTGGGGAACATGTCGTGGATAACGACGAAGTCGTCGTCGTAGTACACTACTACGTTGGAGGGGAAGGATTCTGGTTTCGTGATGTAGACGCCTAGACCGTCTCGGGGGCCACCGATGGCTCGCCTTTTAGAGGTAGGAGGAATGTGCTTGGAGGAGGTGCTGGGATCGTCATGTTTGGGATGCTTAGGTTTCGGGGCGAGTAGTTCTGTAACTGAGATAGGAATAATCAGTTAGTGGTTCCTGCGTCCGCTATGCAAGGGGAGGGAGAGGGGTGAAATTGGTGTTTGTTCTCGGAGCGTACAGGCGTCTCTTTTCGCTGGCTTGGGTGGCTGCTGATGCGCTTCTGCGGGCGCGACATCCTGTTCGGTGGGGCTGTCGAGCTCCAGAGTAGGAGATTCAGCCATTTTAGTAGAGTTGCTAGCTGATGAGCACAACGAGTGGGTGGTACAGAGCTGTTGTGGATGAGATTCAGAGCTCTTTCTTATGATGCGGAGAGGCCGAAGCAATGCAATGCGATCAGCGGCGACTCCCCGCAGCCCTACCCAAAGGATCAAAGCGGCCTAGTGCGGGACAAGCCAACCGCGGAATCGTTTCAAGAAACTCCCGTTGCTTCTTTTCAATACCAGGAGTGCTCTAGGTACCTTTTTGGATTCTCCTCAACGGCCTGAGTTACTCCACGGGCGTCTGCTCTAGACCATCTGTCATTTTGGAACCATGCCCCCCAAGAAAAAGAACGACGCCCGTGGAGGAGCCCCCAAACCGGGGACCAAAGCTGCCAAAGCTGCCGCCGAACGATCGGCGGAGACAGCGAAGAAAGCGCAGGCTTCTACAGAGGAGCCTAAGAAACCTTCAGTAAAGGAGGTCATTGGAGGCGCATCATGGACCGGAAAGCTGCCGGTCAATATGCTTGCGGAGCACTGCCAGAAGCAGAAGTGGGAGAAGCCTGAGTATACAATGGTATGGCCGATGATGGCCCATTTTCGTCTATCCAAAAATCTAAGGATTAATGGGCTCGTCATGCTGACAATTCTATCACATCGCAGATTAAAGTCTCGGAGGGTTTTGTATCCTCCGTTATTCTGAAGCGCATCGATCCGAAGACTCGAGAAACTGTCGTACTCCCTCCTATGAAACCCCCTCCGTCCCACAAGCATCTCGCCGCGCAACCAACGGCGCTAGAGGCGCGCCATTTCGCTGCTGCTTATGCCCTATTTCGAGTCTGTAACATGAAGAATATTCATATGATGCTTCCGCCCACCTATAAGAAGCTTTGGAAAGAGGATTTTACGGAGATCAAATCGGCAGATACCAAGGGAGGGAAAGGATGGATGTACGAGGCAGATCCGTTCCTCGCCAAGCAGGAGCGAGAAAGTGCAGCTGCAGACTTGGAGAAGAAGCGGAAAGAGCGCGAAAAGACACAGGCGAAGGAGGCAGAGAAGACCGTCGACTTGGGACTGGGCTCTAGCGGTGATAACAGGGGCAAGAAGATCTGGTCGCAAGCACCAAAGGTCGACCTTGGGGGTAAAGTGCGCCGTGAAATTGAGGGTATACTGCGGCAGCACGCCATTTGGAATCCTTATAACGTGGAGATACCGGAACGCGAACGCAAATCTATTATCGATGAGCTCACTCAGTTGGGCTTCCGGCGCAGCCACGTTGAGGAGGCGACAAGCACATGCAAGGACCGGGAGGAGGTCCTGGAATGGCTTCTTATATACGTCCCGGAAGATGACCTTCCGCGTTGGTGTCTACCTGAAGGGTACTCCGCCGGTGTGAGCCTTGCCAGCGATGATCTTGCAAGGGAGGCCAAAATCAAACGGCTCGCCTCCATCGGCTACCCTGCTGACCTGTGCTCGCGCACATTGGATAGCAAGAAGGGTGATGAACTTGCGGCAGCAGAGTTTCTCCAAAGCACACTGGTGCACGGGTCGAGTTCTGCTGCCGACTCTTCGCCCATTGCGGAAGAGGATCTATGGGCAGAAGAGCAAGAAACCCTGGAGGCTATCTTCGGCGAACGATACAAGCGAGTTTCGCCTAAAGTCTGTGAAATAAAGAGTGAGGGATCAGACTTACCAGAATCTTTGACATTCCGTTTCCAAAGGCCTTCTACGCACTATCCCTCATCTGTCCCGGTTATCTCTATTCTGGCCAAGGGCATTCCAGCTTACATACGCCTGAGCGCTATACGCCAGGTAGTACAGTACTCTGAGGAGAACTTCTTCGGTGAGCCCATGATATTCAATATCCTGGACTGGCTGGAGGTCCATTTGCCGGAAGTTATGGAGAATCCAGGGCGTCTGAGGGATATCTCGACAGTTTCTGCTTCTCCAACTGCCACCGGATCTGTATCTCAACTCCCTGTTCGCCAATCGCGCAAGAAGGGCAGAGACGTGAACTGGCAGGCGGGCTCGCCGCAAAGCGTCGCGCTGAGAGAAGCCTGGGAAGCGAAGCAGGCAACCAAGGCCCAGCAAGAGATGACTAGGAAACGACAAGCTCTTCCAGCCTGGAACACACAGGACGCTATCATCCAAGCCGTGAACAAGTACCAGGTTACTATCATCTCTGGTGAGACCGGTAGTGGAAAGAGTACCCAGTCCGTCCAATTCCTGCTTGATGATCTGATCAAGCGAGACCTTGGCGCTGCCGCCAACATTATCTGTACCCAACCTCGCAGAATTTCTGCCTTGGGTCTCGCAGATCGCGTATCCGATGAGCGATGTGCGTCGGTTGGTGACGAGGTCGGATACATCATCCGAGGCGAGTCGAAGGCCAAGGCAGGCACAACGAAGATCACATTTGTCACCACTGGTGTTCTGCTCCGTCGCATGCAATCTGGCAGCGGCCCCGACGGTAATGTTGCAAGCTCTCTCGCGGATGTCACCCACGTCGTGGTGGATGAGGTACACGAACGGAGTCTCGACACTGATTTCCTTCTGGCTCTGTTGAGAGACGTCCTTCGCTATCGGAAAGACATCAAGGTCATCCTCATGAGTGCCACTCTCGATGCCGACATCTTCATGAACTACTTCGGCGGTAGCAAGTCCGTTGGGTTTGTTAACATCCCAGGACGGACCTTCCCCGTCCAAGATAACTACTTGGACGATATCATCCGCGACACAGGGTTCTACCCTGAGTTCTCTGAACGCGACTACGAGGAAGAAGACGCAGTCTCATCCGCCCAAGCTGACGAGTCCCTTGGCAAGGTCCTCCGCAGTCTCGGAATGGGAATCAACTATGAGTTGATTGCCTCCACAGTTCGATACATAGACGCCCAGCTAGGCGACCAGCCAGGAGGCATCCTAATCTTCCTCCCCGGAACGATGGAGATCGAACGGTGCCTGAACGCTGTGAAGAGAATCCCCAACGCCCACCCACTCCCCCTTCACGCATCTCTCCTCCCAGCTGAACAACGGCGCGTCTTCCTCAGCCCTCCCAAGGGCAAGCGCAAGGTCATCGCAGCAACCAACGTCGCCGAAACATCCATCACAATCGAGGATATCGTAGCCGTCATCGACACCGGCCGAGTCAAAGAAACAAGCTACGACCCCCGCGACAACATCGTCCGACTGCAAGAAGTATGGGCATCCCAAGCAGCCTGCAAACAACGACGTGGTCGAGCCGGTCGTGTCCGCGCCGGTACATGCTACAAGCTCTACACCCGCAAAGCAGAGGCAAACATGGCACAGCGTCCCGACCCCGAAATCCGTCGAGTACCCCTCGAGCAGCTCTGCCTATCCGTCAAAGCCATGAAGGGCATCAACGACGTCGCCACCTTCCTAGCCAACACCATCACCCCACCCGAAAGCACCGCCGTCGAAGGAGCCCTCGACTTCCTCCACCGCGTCGGCGCTCTCGACCACGACAAACTAACCGCCCTGGGTCGCTACCTCTCCATGATCCCAGCGGACCTCCGCTGCGCAAAGCTGATGGTCTACGGCTCCATCTTCAGCTGCATCGACGCCTGCGTCACCATCTCCGCCATCCTAACCGTCAAGAGCCCATTCGTCTCCCCACGCGAGAAACGCGAAGAAGCCAACGCCGCAAAGGCCTCCTTCTCCAAAGGCGCCGACGGCGACCTCCTCACTGACCTCCTCGCCTACCAACAATGGTCCGACCGCGTCAACGCCCAAGGCTATTGGCAAACCCAATCCTGGTGCTCCGCCAACTTCCTCTCCCACCAAACCCTCCGCGACATCTCCTCCAACAAATCCCAACTCCTCACCTCCCTCAAAGACGCCGGCCTCCTCCCCGTCGATTACTCCTCCTCAGACTCATCCTCCCACTGGAACCGCAACGCAACCAACAAACCCCTCCTGCGCGCCCTAATCGCCGGCGCCTTCCAACCTCAAATCGCCCAAATCTCCTTCCCCGACAAGAAATTCGCCAGCTCCGTCACAGGCACCGTGGAAATCGACCCCGACGCACGAACAATCAAATACTTCAACCAAGAGAACGGCCGCGTCTTCATCCATCCTTCCTCCGTCTGCTTCTCGGCCCAATCCTACCCCAGCTCATCTGCATATCTCAGCTACTTTACCAAAATGGCCACGAGTAAGGTATTTATTCGTGATTTGACGCGTAAGTTGCCCCCAATCATTCCGCTGGTATACCATGCCTGTGAAGGAACTATACTAATATGATATATGTATAGCATTCAACGCCTACTCCCTCCTCCTCTTCTGCGGATCCATTGACCTCGACACCGCGGGTCGCGGCTTAATCGTGGATGGATGGTTACGGCTGCGCGGATGGGCTCGGATCGGTGTTTTGGTGTCCAGGTTGCGGATGATGCTGGATGAGATTATTGCCATGAGGATTGATCAGCCTAATGGTGGTGGTAGTGGTGCAGAGGGTGGTGATCAGACGAAGACGGCGGATAAGGTGGTTGAGGTTGTGAAGAGATTGATTGAGTTTAATGGGTTGGATCAGTGAGGGGGTTTTGGGTATATATTTTTGGGTGAGATGATTTGGTTACTGGTGAGAAAATCTTGGGGTAGAGGTATGGATATAAGGTGCTAGATGCTAGATAAGAGGTAGATGAAACAAAAGTTAGATGTTGGTGAATGTCATGACGAAGTTGATGTTACTTATTGGCCTAGGTTCCTGGATACTACGATGTATAGTCTTCTAAAGCTGGAGCTGAAGAGATAGATCCAATGGCATTAACTGGTGGGTCATAAACCTGGATAATAATCCACAGAACGATGCATGCGGTAATAGACGAACGGTAAACGTCATTTCCAACGAAACAAAGGAAATCAGAGGGCAATGGATTATAGCGATGCTCGGGGGAGCTCGCCGTTCGTCGTGAAGATTCCGTGGATAGCAGCAATCTGCCGGGAGCGTGAGATAGGTCGTGATAGTCGAGAAAGGTAAAATAACACAAGGGCATAACGACATAGGAGAGAAATGAAGAAAATGTAAAGGAGGGATTGTAAGAAAAGACAGCCATCGACCCATTAACTCCCGAACCCGGACTGCTTGCATGAATCAATTGTCGTGCAAATCATTAATAGAAAAGGAAAAAAGAAATGAGGTAAAAGCAAAAGAACTCCGTCTCCCTGACATCCGATTTCCGATCACGGCATCGGTTTTTCTTGCGTGGTCTACATCTTGCATGGATGGCCATAGGCGTCACATGTCTTGGTATCATAAAAAAGGTGAATGAGGGTATGAGGACCTTGATCCTGGGGTATTGGCGACGTGAGCTTCTGCGCACACTCACGCCTCTTATTTTCAGATATTAGCAGCTTTCAACAGGCACGGGTTGCAGGCCAGTGTAGCCAGCAAACCCTGAACCCCTGCGCCGTGTCAGACATTTTCATGCTCTATATGCAGAAGTAAACGACGACGATGGGTTGAGTTTTCTGTAAGTGGTAGCGGTTAGAAGAGGTCGAGGGATTCAGCGTGAGTGACTAGATAAGAAGCTATGCGCGCTTCCAGTAGGGCGCTGGTTCGGTTGATGCGTTGCGATCGGAATAAGAGCTATCTCTGGCCTGCTCTGGGACAATGAATCCCTTTCTCATTTCGTTCTCAACGAACAGAGAAGCGCGCTTGTAGCGTTTGTCAGAAAATTTCTCGTAGATAGAGCCGTGGTGCTTGCGAGGGTTCTCGCAGCACTCCACCATGAGAGAAATGAGTGGGAGTAGCTGCGTGTAAGTGTATCCGGCATAGTGGGCGTGGGCGGGAGTCTGGGAACATGTTAGGACGACTTCTTTCGAACTTCAGCAGGTCAAGGACATACCCAGGTTCCCTTCCGCAGCATGAGCCTAGCCAGGCAGTGAGCGCCAGCGGCAACGAAGCTCGCGGGGCTTCCGACAAAACGCTCATCCATGACGGTGATCTCCAAGAAGTACTTGGCAAGAGTGCGCGTCTCCAAGTCGTAGTCGTCGGCCTTGCTGATCCTCCGCAGGAAACTCATCGGGCCAGGCCATCCCAGCTCGAACTGCAACATGCTCAACATGAAACGCTCGGCTTTGAGAATCTCGTCCATGGAATATCCTCCATCTACCATGTAGACAATTTCCTGCACAGACGGGCAGTTGATCTCCTCATACTTGGCGGCGATGAAGATGGCAGTGGCACCCACAAGCTGAAGTTTGCCCAGGGACACGATCTTGCAAGAAAGAAAGCGGTCGATGTAGTTGACACACAGAAAGAGGGTCTCGGGAAGCAAAGAGAACCGATAGTGGACCTGCACGACCCAGTCCATAAGCACAGACCGCATAGACCATTGGATCTCGGCTTGGTTATCCATATAGTGAGCATTGGGTAGCATCTTGATCTGTAGGCCATGTAAGTATCTAACTACCTAGGATCAGGTGTCTCCAGACTTAGTACGTACCTCTTGTTCTCTCATGTATTCGAAAATCTCCTCGCTGTACTCAGCAACCATGCTTGTATCGTACCATTCATCTTCAATGTCTTCCTCAGTCCGTGTGGCCTCCACGACCTGCTCCGCGAGAGCTAGTTCGCGTCGGACTTGCTGGGTGAATTTGGGGAAAAGCACTGTGGTGGCACCCCCGGTGGTATTTTCGCCGCGAGAGCGGTAGGAGCGAGCAGTGATATACCCATCTTCCTCCTCATGCTCGTCCTCTTCATCCCAATCTTCCGGCTCCGACTGTGCTGGTGCATGCGAGGTCGAGGCAGAGTCACGATGAGCCTTCGCGACACGGTTAGGTTCAGGAACCTCCGGCGCAGCGGGAAGCTCGCGGGGCTTGGGATCCTCGCTATGATCCTGGACCTTGCAATGATCATCATCAACCTCCAGCAAAGCCTTCTCTGCCTCGTCCACCTCAGAGTCCACAATGGAATGCTCTTCGGCGTCTTCCAGGACTGGCTTCGGTTCTTCGTGTGTAGCTTCCTCCTTCGTAGTGGTCCGCTTCGCAGCTGCGGGCGCCTGTGCAAGGGATGCCTTGTTGTCCCCTTCCTCGAGTTCGGTGTTGGTTTCCTTGGATGTAATTTCGCATTTGTTGTTCGACGGTTCCGACGCGTCTTTGAATACTGTAGCCCGCTTGTTTAAGATCTTTCTAGCATTTGCAGTTTGCTGCTGCAAGGCGATTTGCTTGGAAGGTTCAATGGGTTTGGCGTTGGGAACATTGTTCAAGAGGCCTTTCATACCAGCCATTGACATGGGCCGCTGAGCTGGCTGCGCCAGGCTGGCCTTCTTCTCGACGATCAACGCCGCCTTCTCTGCCCCTTTGGTCTGCTTCTTGCCCGCCAGGGAGATATCATCGCGACCGGCAATTGGTTTGGCCGTGTTGCTGACATCGCCAAAAGCAGCCCGCTTGGCCGCACCTTTGTTAGCGCCGTTCTGGAACATGGTGGACAAGGCAGGCGTGGATTTGTTTTTCTGGGTAAGGGTCTTGTTGGCTGCGAGAGGGAAGGGGGCATTCTCGTCACCACGGACGCGAATTCTCTGGGGCTAATGCCATAAATCTCGTCAGCTCAGTGTTATTAACTAAGTCGCGACCTTGGTGAAGGGATAATCGGAGGCTAAACCCTCAGTGCGCGTGCAGCACCGTGAACATGCATGCCATGTTTATAAGCCGATTGGACGGCTGACAGGCAGGAAGAACATGCAATGGAAGATAACGTACCTTTGCATCCATCTTGGATGAAGAGAGGCGATACTCTGAAGCCTCGAGAACCGTGTTTGGGGGAGCTTGGGGAAGGGTGGGTGGTTGTTTACTTCTCTGCGCCCTGCGCAGGAGTTGGTCGTCGCAGCTAAAGTTATACTAAAAATGCGACCCCAAACAAACACAAGACCGCGCCAAGGGCTCGAGCGATAGCGCCAGTTCGACCAGGTTTGAGTGTTAAGGTTGGCTGCCACGAGAGGGAGGAGGTTGGTTGAAAGACGACGACTAACACCAATACATTGACAAAGACAGGGCGACCAGCAACGAAGAAAGGGCAGGACAAACAAAAGCTGAGTTTGACCTGAATCTCAAGGGCAACCACCAGCATTGCCCGAAACGGTCACTTCCTTACTTGGTTACCGTCAACAACACCCGCGCTAGTCCGCTTCGGGGGTTGCTATGGCATGCTTAGGTCAGCCGCTGTTTGCGCTGTTTGCTTGCTCCTCAGAGCGGGTGACATCATCTAACGCGTCTTCCCACCAGCACATCAATTCCTTTACTGCCCATCTTTCTCTTCCAAACCCAGCTATATCTGGTGATAAAAAGCAATTTATATCGCAGGCTATCTTGCGATTCTAAAACGACAGCATTTCCTGCTTATACTTACGGTTGTGGTGGACAATTATGGTATATATTCCCCCAGGTCCTGGACGCGCCGGGTCACACGAAGCCGGCCTTCACCCAACGCGAGTTCACGTGACCCTGAACGAGCGGGAGAGCTGCCATCTTTGCTCCGGGATTTGACGCTTGAAGCGGAGGTTGGAGCAACCCGGAATGTTGAATTCAGCTTGTGACCAACCCGCTTATCCAGGACCTCCGATCGCACTCTTAACCAGGCTCACCGGTGTCGCATGGCAAGGCACCTAATTGTCTTTGAGCGAAACGTCTCGACCAGGATGGAGTGGATGGGCCATTCGGGTCGAGATTCCAGCTGGAACCTGGTAATGCCAATGATGACGGGCCATGATAATCGCAAACCCGTCAATGACTTGAGGAATCCATGTTTCCTGTAGGCTTACAGTTTGTATCTTTGGCCTGGCTCTTTTTGCGGGTTTTCTAACTGGCACTTACTTTGGACTGATCTTTGGGTCCCGTTTACACCCGCGCAAAATGCCAACCTCGCCAGGAAGCCACAAGTTTCCCCCCATTGTGGGACGCGGATCCGGCGGTACCTATCATGAGGCGGCGGGATTCATGAGAGCGGGTTTGTCGATGGTCGTGTGCGAAAAAGTCCCGACCTCCACCGGATTTGCCATCAGTGAAATAGCCAGTATTGGTGGTATGTGTTATGCGATGGTCGCAATTCACTCTGATTGATGCAGTGGTCCATTGTGCAATGTAGAGGAAGAGAGAGAAGATGGAAAGGATGAACACTGGGATTGCTGGCGACCAGCCGCCATTTGAGGTGTCGCGGACAACCGAACGGTGAAAGCGGACTATTGAAGATACGCAAAGTTTCGGTGTGTGTTTGGCCTGGCGGCTGACCAACAACAATAGCAAAGCCAGTTAGTTAACTAACATAAATGGGCAAAATTATGATGACTATTGAAGCACCGGCCGGACTGGTTATTGACTCTGGAGCAGGCCCCGCTTTGAGTGCCTCAATAAGGAACACTTCCAAACTCTACAATTGGAGTGATCGCACGAGATCGGATTGTGTTCAGTTAAAACTGAACATTATTACTTTGACAAACATTAAGGGAAAGAGGCGACAGAGCCTATATCTCGCCGTAAATATATATATAAGATTCCCATCATTGTCATTCTCATTTAGCTTCCCTGCGGAATGCAGTCCTTCCAGTTGATTTCCCCCCACCCGGCTAACGGCATTGTTGCGCCAGTTGGTTATTCTTCAGTCAATCGACCATCGCCCATTCTCATTCGATCGCTTGGGGCCAGGAAGAGATTGTGTAGACACCCCAGTACAACGCGCAAGACATGGGTTAAACAGCGGATTGGCAGTCAAAGGGAACCCTCCGAAGGTTTAGTTCACAGGCCGCTGCGAAACTGCACTGGACCTTGCAGACATAGGAATGGCCGGCCTGGCAGATGCGATTTAGGGACCCGCGAGACAGGAAGCCAAAGGACTGTCCATAGGATTGGAGGTGCTAAGTTAGATGATGATAATGATGAGAGTATCTTAGCTGTCAGTTCGGTCTGGTCGCAAAAGAATACTAAGTCCTTTATGCCTGCCCGAAAGTTGGTGAAGGAAAGACGGGGATCCTTACGTAGCCCACCGTTTTCCGAGGAGGGGTAAAAGGACGAGTCTGGACAGGCGCAGATCATGAAACGAGGCAACAATTGGGCGTTGTTGCTCGTCGGCTTGTTGGCTCTGTGTCGTTGCAGCATCCTGGCCCAATTAATCTCAATCAGTGTTCTCGTCTCCATCCCCCGGTAGCGATGGTTGGGTGTGGTGGATTGCCCTCCCCTCATTCCATTGCATGCTGTTCCGTTAAGTAGTATTTCCTTTGCTTTTTCTTCGGTGGTGATGATGATGATGGTCTGGTTGTTTCTCTGGGATTCTGCGCTGGCGATGTCTGGATACTAACTACTAACTACGGAGTACTGATTATTACTAAGTAGTCTACATACTGGTGATGGATGATGATGATGAGCCTGAGGCCATGGAAGACATTTGCGCCGTAGGAGATTTCCTTTCCTTTTCCCCAACATGGAGATCCGGAGCATCGATCGCCCTTTCAACCGGTTATCCTAACCATCATGCATGTCTTACGCCCCGCGAGTAATGGAATGGCAGCATTGAGCATGGTAAGAACCTTGCGCGACCAGCGTTGAGGGAATTGGTCGCTGCGAGAGGGGGGGAACAAGTTCAGTTCTTTCCGGAGACAGTTGGTCGGTCGTCTTTAATTGCGTCTTATGCCCATCCACGTAGGGAAAAAAAAGGGAACCAACCTTATTCCCCAGGATAACATTCTTCGGGTCTTTTTCGCTGCTTATTTGGTCTGTAATTATTATTTCGCTTTTTAAAACCTTCGCTACGACTCGACTTTTTGACCAAAAGTTCATCATCTAAGGAGTTAAACCCGAAATGGGGACTACATGAAGAAGAGCGTCCCATCACTCGCTCTCCGCAGCCGGGATGTGATCGGGGGTGTCATTCGACGTGGCCGCGCTGAGGAAGTGCCAGCCAACCTTGACCCTACGCCACTCCGCTTCATCTGGTCAACCATCTCTTCCGTTGGGTGCACAAAGAATTTAATGGTAACAGTAATAACAATAATAATAATAATGATCGTAATCCACAAGTATTCTCTTTCCGTGTGTATGTTCCTGTAATGTCTGTAGATTGGCAGTTCAAAAAGTACTCCTGCACCTGTTCTCTGTGGTCGCAGATCGACAATGTCGCCGTCGTTTGCGCCAACACCCGGCCGATACTCCAGAGATCCAACAGCACTTTGCACTCACCCTTCACCCCATCACTGGCATTATTATGGAACAAAAGTTATAGCAATATAAAAGTGTAGTTTTAGCGATTCATCTGACAGGTACTTTGTATATGATTTTCTACCAGAAGTCCTTCCAGGCAGAGTCGCCGATCTCGTAGATCCAGATAGAAGCCGGTCCGTTCGGACGCAATGCGATTTAGGATTTTGCGATGAAAGAAAGCCACGCGCAAATAGAAAAAAGGGTTGAATGGAGAATATAGAGAATCAATTCGCATCTGGAAGGAAGTCGGGGGAGTCTGTGGGGGGAAAAGGGTGCATTCGAGAGGATGGATTGTCACCGACCCAGGCCACCTCTGCTCGCTTTGGGTGAAACCACATCCATCCATCCATCCAGCGCCCACTCCCTCTTCCTCTCTCTCTCTCTTCCTCCTCAACCTTCTCTTCGACCCAACCCGACTTCTTCTCGCCCACTCACTCCACCATTTCCCTTCGATTTTTTGGTGCATATCTATCAGGTAGGTCCCGGTCTATCGTTTAGCATGACTTTGATCTTTCTTTGCACCTGCTCTCCCCCTTTCCTGACCTTTTGGTTCTCCTGACTCGCTTCGGCTCTGCGTGATGCCACCGCTGACATACCCAAGCGCTTGGTAGAACGACTCACCTCCCACGGCCCACCCCTCTTCCTACTCCCTCAACCACCATCGCTATCCTTCCTTTCTCATCTCGTCGGATCCGATACTCGGGTGCGACTCTACACAAATAGGTTTGATTTCCCATCGGTACGTCTTTGATGCCATCCATCGTCTTCCGAGTGTTTCGGGTCGTCTCTCCTCCTCCCAATCTGCAATCCCATCAGGATTCGACAGGGGAGGTCTCGGCGTCATCGAATAAACCTGGATTCCCTTCTCTACACATCGTCCTTTCTCATTGACATCTTTTGCATCACATCGTGCTAACCTTGGTGGTGGTGGTTGTCCAGCTTTTCGACCGTCTTTTTCTTTGCCTTTCCCGTCGCTCTCGGCTCTTGCGACTGAGGTGCCGTCGTCCTCCCACCGACCACCCTCTTGAGTCGCCATCCAACACATCCATAAAAACTGTCGCGGGTAGTCCATCTTTCAACTGAACCCCTCTGGTTTCTCTGTTGTGGTAGGTTTGGATGGAATTTGCCCATACCCTCCTATTCCTCCCCGTCTCTCTGCCTGCTTCCCTTCCCCCCACCCTCTGTCTCTTCTCGCCCGGACCGCTCTTCCCACCCGAATTCGAACACCCGATTGATTCATACATCAATGTAGTAGCAGTGTGGTAGTACCTCTCTTCAGACTCTCCCACCATGCAGGCTGTCCACTACGAACAGCATGCTGCCCCTGGGGAGTCGCCTGCCTACACCGACCATCGTGCGCCGCCTCAGGAACCCTCCCCTCGGAGCTCGGTTCCTAAGAACGTCGCCTTTGAGCTACTTCTCGATGAGAACTCCAAGGTCCGCGCCCGCATACCGATGCGGGTACAGATCTATCCTCATGACACAACGGATTCCATTGTGACTACGGTTAAGAATTTTTACGGCATCTACGATGGTGCTGCGAGCGGTGTGAGCTTCGAAGATGAGCAAGGTATCACCCTCATTGCCAGGTATGAGAATCTACGGAACAACATGACTGTTTATGTGCGGGTTATCCCCGTCCAGGCGTACACAGAGGGCTACGGCGATCGCTTTTATGGGCATCTCCCAGCCGATGCCCGCAAGCGTCCCAGCTTAGGGGAGCCCTTCCAGATGCCGCCGGCCATGCCGCCGGCGCAGGTCTTGGAACACGGCCAACCACCTTCTCGGCCGGCGTCGCGGCTGGCTCGGAAACGCAGTATATCCCCGTCTGGTCGCAGCCGTCGTAGCGCATCCCAGAACAAGCAGTCGTCTCGGGTAGGCAACAAGAGCAGAGGCTCGAGCACTCATGGCAGCTTCCACGAGGAGGGTACCCCTGGTTATAGCGATAGTGAGGGCGGCTACTCTGGGACGAAGAAGTCCCGAACCGAGCAGTTTGGCAGCTCAGATATCAGCATGGAAAACATCCTCCAAGATGGCCGCCGGAAGCGGCCCAAGTTTGAAAGTTCGGTTCGTGGCAGGCATCTTTACGTGCCCCGTCTTTGTTGAACCAGACTTGCTAACGTTCTCTCTTTGTCTCCTCTCCAGGAATTGCCTTTGTTCGTTCCTCCCCAGGTCCCGCTCACAACCTCCACGTCGTCGATCTCGCCCCAACGCCGGTCAATCGGTCAGGAAGGGGCCATCTCACCTTTCGCACGCCCCACCCAGCGCCCATACAACCAACAACCATTGCCGTCTCCACAGAGCTATGGATACAATGAGCAAATCTACAACGTCAATCCGGTGCGCAATCCTGTGTACGCTACCCCTGTGGTTCCTGAGCATGGCCACCGGCTGCGCGACCGAGCCACTACCCAGTCCTCTGGTGGGCAGTACAGCAACCAGGCTGGTCGGGGCGGCGGCCCGGGCATCCTCCCCACCCCGGATCCTACCATTGCCAGCTGTATCTCTGACGAGGATGTTGCTATGCAATTGATTCGTCTGGGAGACGCATCTAATTTCTCGCACGGCCGTACTTCTGCCTCCACGCTTGATGATGCCTTCAGCGGTGCCGCTGATGCTGCATCGTCGACGGGCGCAACCAGCGATGGTGATGACTACAGCGATGATGACGATGATCTGCCCGCTCGGTCCAAGCAGCGGC